CATTTTTTAAAATTTTTTGGAAAATTATTTTAAGATATTTTTTTTACGAATAGGTACCTATATAGAAAAGGGGTGGTTTGAGAGGGACATTTTTTTCGAAAGCCTTGAAAATGGATGAAAAGATATATTTAACAGATTAGAGATGTATGGAATGCTTTAAAATATTTCACCATGCATGTCATTGAATTGAATGTTATAATTATCACTTCTTTTCGCTTACTTATTTATTCTCGTATTCTTCTAGAATGTAAGTTGTATCATTTCGTAAATGAAGAGACGAAATAATTTATAAAAGTATATGATACTAAAGAAAGTTTGCTTGAACTACCTAAGCTGTACATTTCCTGAATATACGAAGTAAACAATAACTATATAGGGGAGCGAGGGACACGTTGTTACAGGGGTAGAAAGCTACACGCCTTTTCTACCGGGATTTTGAACTCTTTGGTGGACATGATTGGACTCATTTGTTTTATTATAACGTCATGCATCATATAAAAACGGTCAGTGACCGGTCAAGCGGCAAGTTGCTAATAGGTTGTGTGCATGTTTTTCGATGTCAACCAAGTACCTAAGTAAAAATATTCTTAACGAAATTTTTGATTTCTGACGAAAGTTGTTCATTGGGTGACATTAAACCTAAACTGGCATTCTCACAAGAAATAGAACATAAATTAGCTCATCTACTAAAAAGTTCAGAAATATATTTTGGTTTACTATCAACAGAAGTCCGAGAACTAGCTTACCAATGTGCTGTAAAACTCGATTTGAAAAATATTCCCCCCAGCTGACTTGAAAATAATATGGCCGGGCCGGACTGGTTTGAAAGTTATATGGATATCAATCCTCAACTATCTCTACGTACACCAGAAGTTACATCTTTGAGTAGGTATAGCAACGTCGTTCGAAACAACCAACGTTGAAGATTTGACAAACTGCAAGGCTTACTTCAAAATTATGTTATTTTTCTACAAAAAATCTTTATAAATTACGATAAGTATCTACTCATAAATATTAGAAGACTATTCAACGTGATCTCTTTCGTTTATAACTTTTTGAAGTGATAATGAAAATTAGTTTTCACTGCTGGTTTTGTTTATTTCTCTCCAGTTACATCGTGCCCCGAAGATGTAACAAGTAGCCCCAAATTGGGGGTAAGTTGTTATAATAGACTTTTTTTGTTTAAATTATCCATTGTGCAAAAATTACATGAATTTTAATAACTTTTCAATCATGTTTCAATAGCTGAATAGACATATTAACGATAAAAGCTATCAAATGTATAAATTATTTGATAGCTTTTGTCATATTGACATTAACAAGAAATGAAAATTAAAAACTAAAAGATTTCAAGTTACTTCACATTTGACGTTTCGATTGTTAGTATCCACAATTGTCTTCGTGTGATAACTGAACTTATTCCTCCGAGATCTGACTATTTATAGGACATTCGAGTGCTTTGACCTATCGCCTCTTCCCTCTCCCGCTTCATCGGTTTTAGCGGAAGCTGATCTTTTTGGCGGGAGTTGGTCGTGATCCGCTTGATTATAGGTTCCCATATGTTGCGTATCTCCACACTAGCGCTAAATGCGTTGTTGTACAACATATATGCGGCTTCTTTGAATTTTCTCCTAAACCAGTGTTCCTTCTTGTGAATGATTTTACCTTGAGACCAGTTGATGTTATGTTGATGAGCCCAAATATGCTCTGCTATTCCTGATTTGCTGGTTTCTCCTCACTGTGTATGTTTCTTGTGCTCGACAATGCGAACTTTCAATGGCTTCTTTGTTTCACCGATGTATGATTTTCCGCACTCGCAGAGTATCCGGTAAATGCAAATTCTAGGAATCGCAGTCCGCGTTTGGTGGCCTGGTTTTCGTGAGACTGCTACGTATAGTGTTCACAGATCTGCAGCAGGTTCTGATGTTATACTTGTACCCAATTCTTCTTATCCTTTCCGACAATCCTCTGATGTAGGGAAGTACAAGTACTGGTTGTGGCGGCTTCTCTTCCTTGTGAGGTTCTTGCTGTCTTCTAGCCAAATTATTTTCCACCATAACTTTGGAGTAACCATTCCTGGTTCAGATACTGTCCCGTGAAGAATACTTTCGAAACTAATACTTTTATATGAACACTGAAATATACAAAAAACTATTTTCTCTATTCAGTTTGTATTTCAACTCAGATTGAACACTGTGGATATCATGTATTACGTGTTTCCACATTTTATCCTTTTGTTGAACAAAATATCGAAGGTGAACTTCGAGATAGTTCAAATCTCGATTGCCTAAATATTTCACTCCATGTTTTTCTGCGATCAAACACCGAGATAATAAATAAAAAGTTTGCGACATTTGCGACAGAAGATGAAAATATAACATATTCAGGACAACGACGTGCCCTTTTCAGGAGATTCGAATCCCATGGCTGCGAGAGAATCATTTACGAGCTTGTTGGAATGGGAAGCCCTGGTGACAGGTCACTTTGTTTCATGATTGATGTCACTTGTATCGCTCTGAATATTTATATGAGCTCCATCTCCAGCGATGCGATTTTCTGTGCTGGTGTGATCGATACAAAGGACCACTTCGAAATAATAAGGAGATGGAATTTATGATAAGATTTAACTGGAATATACGTGGGTGTCTGTTAAAAAAGCGGTTTTTGAAGATTGGGTTCATGCTCTTTTATGTTTACGATACATGACAAACAGTTCTGGTGGTTAATTATTCAGGTAGAATACTCTACAGAATTGTTTTGAAAATATATTAAAGTTCGGAATCACTATATAGAAAGGAACTTTACCAATATAAATTGAAAATTGTTTGAGTGTTGATAAGGTTTCTAGGTAGTGAAACTCAAGAAAATTACTCATAACGGTGCTGTGATAATTTATTATCACACCACCCATGCACCCATCACTTACTTATGGGATACTTTGTTGGGGAAAGAGCTCCAAAAGTCAGATGGTATTCGTTAGGCAGAAGCAAATCATCAGAAGTATATTCAGTTTGCAAACTGGAAGCCGCTTGAATACAAACAATATTTGACATTTATATTATAAGCGCTGTATGCTCCATTCACAATTTCCAAATTTTTGGCGAACTCAATAATGAAACAAGTCTGTACCAGAAAAAGGTAAAGGAAACCCATGAGACAATGGAGTTGGTTGTGAATGGAAGTGATGAATACAGGGCAATGATCATGAATCCACAACCACTCAAACTCTTTTATCAAATTACATGAAAACAGTTTCTCGATTAGACCAGTGGATAAATGCTCATGAAATCAAGTGATATCAATAATAATAATAATGATAATAATACGTCTCCATTCCCAGAATATGCAGTAAATATGTGTGAACATTTTCTGAAACGAGAAGGGCTGAAGATCAGTTGGTTGCATTAAAAGATGTAACCTCTGTTTTTCATCTTATGCCAAACCTATATTAATCTCAAGTCGCCGTTCAGTATAATCAACACTCATCAAATAGTGAATAATATTCCTAATACCTCCGTATAATGCTAAATTAATATCGTTTGATGTCCAAAATTTATTTCGACTTGTGCACATTGCCAATTGCACTAATCACTTTAATGCAGAGTGTAACAGACTGTTGGTTGACACTGGAAGTCAAAGCATTCTGGAAATGACCTCTGACTTTATGCCTCCAACTGTTAACTACGAACTGCCTCATAAAGTACTGTTTCCTAGTAAAGAGGACTGGATCCTCCTAGAGAAGGAAATATTAAGAGCAGATAGTTGTTGGTTCAGAGTTGGATCAAAAATACCTACCGGTTCCGGTGTAGGTGTTTTCAGTCGCAGACTCAGGACAGAGATATCAACCTGCATAGGATCCTATGCGACTGTATTTCAAGCGGAAATTCACGCTATTGAATTGTGTGCGGAGAGATTGGAAGATTCCAATCTCATGCACAAGTCAATAAACATATTCTCGGACAGTCAAACGGCGTTGAAAGCTCTTGGCTCCTACCGAGCAACGTCTAAATTGGTAGCATATTGCCAAAAACGATTCTTCTGGATAGGAAGACTTAACAGATTGTTTCTGGTCTGGATTCCTGGCCATATACTGGCCTGGAAGACAATGTAGCTGCAATGTGGCTTCTTTGCAAAGGAGGATGCTGCAAGCAGCTTCATTGTACCAGAACCTGTCATTGGCATCGCTTCAGGCTTTTCCAAACAAATATTGAACACGTGTTAGGAATCACACGTTAAAAGGTAAGACCTCGTTAATCCTTAGCTCGCACAAGTTTCGACTTCTGAGGGTTGTCGTTCGTAGGGGTGCGACAGCTGGTTAACGGAAAAATAGATTTTAAAACAGATTTTTAAACATGGATGGCAGGAAGATTCATGGACTTCAGGCAGAATCTGCCAGAATTGGCTCACAACCTTCGAAGCTTGTGAACCAAACAGTTGTTGGACTACAGTAGGGATGAACTACGATGTCTAACAGGCCTTCTTATAGGTAACTGTCATTTAAATCATCATATGCAAACACTCGGACTGTCGGAAGACAGTGTGTGTCGCCTCTGTATGAAAATGATGAAACAGCAGAGCACATACTTTGTGCCTGCCCCGCTGGAGACCGAATCAGGATTTTAGAGTTCGACAGAGCCGTACTCTTACCATATGACCTGAAAGACCACTCATCATACAAACTAATCGGCTTTGTTAGGAAGCTGGGTTTATTTGATTGTGTGAATAGGTGTGAGCCACAATGAACCCTTGCGGGTTGCGGTGGAGTGTTGATTAGACCCACTTACTTTGAACCTAACCTAACCTAACCTTAATTGAAAGGGTTATTTTTATAGACCATGTAAAAACTAATAAAAAAAGGAATTTCCGGTTTACTTACTATTTGTCTATCTCAAAAGTATTTCCAATTCGACAAAAAATGTTATTAATGCAGCGAAGGAATAACAATGGGTGAAATATTCATGGATAACCTTGAAAATGAAATCCTTAATAATCAGTTACTTAAGAGTTTCTTGTACTGGTTCAGATACGTTTATGATATCTAAGTATGTTTTACTGGTACATCTATAGACAATTAAGTAAGTTTGTCGAATATGTCAACTTCATTCACCCGTCAATAAAATTCGGATTTTAGTTATTGAAGACATGCCTGAAGAAGCTATTGTATAGCGAAACACGTGTTGCGTTTTTGTAGAACTGTTTAGTGAAAGTGTTTTATGAACACGTTATGGATTTTCATCAAGTATCGGCCAATTCCATCACATATAAATAATATATAAATGAGAAGAATACATCATCTAAGTCCTATGATCCTTTCACGCTCCCATTGTGAAGTACTGAGGTGATTGTAGATACATTTATACACTTTGTAAAAGGCAAATGGAATAAATTCATTATTTCGGTTACTGTACATATTTAAAAAAATCCCGAAACACGTCGAATATAAATTATAATTTGATATTCTTCAACGTAAAACTGCCACCTCTTTCTTCAGCTCCCTTCGAATGACAGGTACAACCCCTAATTATTAAATGGGAGGTATAGGTTTATGATGTATAGTTTGAAAAGTATCTTCATTCATTATTCAAAAATGTTATCGCTTTTAAGTTCATTGCAACAATTGAGATAAAATAAATTAAAATCATGTATTTACCGAAATTCGATAAATACACTCAAAAAGTAAAATGTAATGCAAAACGTAATGAAATGTAGAATACGAAAAAGAACTATGTTAACGAAATATATGTTCAAAATATCCACCGCGAACGTTTTGGCAACATCCTAATCTCAAATAAAACTCTCTTATAACATTAGGTTCGTTCCAACCTTGAGTCACAAACAGATTTCCAACTGTTTGTAAATCGTTGTCAACGCGCATGTCTGGTAAATATTGGTTTGTGATTAATTTGAAATTTCTGATTGGAACAGCTGATAGTTCAACTGAAGTTTGGCATAGAATTTCAACATAACCTTTAAAAATAATTTGGGAAAGAAAGTTTTTATTATTTTGCATATCAGGCGTGACCGACCTAATCGCAAACGTTATTCGTTATTTCAAGTCATTCAAATCTGGAAGTTTTGTTTTGTGCACATTGCTCTTCACATATTTCCATAAAAAGAGATCTAACGATGAAAGATCAGGTGATCGCGCTGGCCATTCACTCGATCCTCGCCTCCCTATCCACCGATTGGAAAATATATCGAGATATTGCTGGACATTAACTTGGTAATGTGGTGGCATTAACCTTGTGAGGGTATCGCCTGTGTTCTTATCTCATCCAGTGAGGATTTTCCGTTGATCAGTAGCAGCAATTTTGCCGATTGGCATGACCGTTAAGAGACAAAGTACACTCATCAGAAAACATTAAGTCTTCTAATTGTATGATATTGTTATCCAACATGTGTATCATTCGCTCACAAAAATAAGTTCTATAAAAATCGTCTCTCATGAGCTCCTGAGTAGGTATCATTTTATAGAGATGCATTTTATTTTTTAATATGTTTACTATCGATGTATAGCTAACATTGAATGTAGCAGATGCCTAACTACTCGATGTATGTGGATTTTTCCTCAAATTCAAGCATCACATCTAACTTGAGTTCATCACTCATTGCATTGGCAGCTTTTTTTTATCTGCCTCACATGACCAAACTCGCGGCCCTGCTTCTCTATTTTGCTTAATGTTCCTTGAAATATGGGGGGTGAATTAGGAAATTTCTCATGAAATAGGCGAGCTACTTCCTGTTGTGTTCTGTAACCAATCATTTGTGGAACTGTTATTTTAAGCATTTCCGTTAATCTAACCATTTGTCAGACTTAAAGTTAACGAACTTCAAACTTTAATTAAAATACTGACAACTAATGTTGTAATATACAAAACAAGTTAACAAGGCGTTTTAAACTAAAGTTGCCACGGGAATTATTTACATGTTTTTAAAGGATACCATCTAAAAATAACATTGCTATGGTTTTTGCTTACTTTCTTATTATCAACATCTCAACATGAAATAAGTTATGAGTATATTTTATCCAATTTTGGTAACCACATGATTTTGATTTATTGCATATTAATTGTTGCAATAAACTTGAAAACGTTAACATTTTTGAATAGAGAATGGAGAGGTCTTTCAAATGATATATCACAAGCCTATACTTCCTATTTAAAAAATTGGGAGTTGTACCTGTCATTTGACGGGGATTGAAGGTAGGGGTAGCATTTTTCCGTTGAAGTATGTCAAATCATAATTCAAATTTGACGTGTTTCGGGATTTTGTTAAAATTTGCACCGTAACCGAAATAATGAATTTATTCCATTTGGCTTTTACACACTGTATATCTACGCCTCACAAATACATGGATAACATTTTTCGAGGATTTTATTGAGCTCTTGTTTCGATATTTGATTCCCGTTAAAAATCAATACATGATGGAATATTCTTTTTCTCGTAAATTCGCACTTTAACTCTGAGATCACTCTTTCTATAGGCTGATAAACAGAACCAGACTAGTGTTCAACAAAGTAAAAGTCATCTCAGACTTATTTGAAAAGTAGAAATGGCTGGGTGAAAGAGAAAAAACACAGCAAAGAATGAAAGTTTTATTCGTTTATATGAATATATATCATTCTACAGTTCGAGGGGGCAATTGGATTTTGAAACAATGAATACTTGGAAATCTAAAAAATATATGTATGTCAACTAACTAAATTATAGGTGGACCGGATTCTAAAGTGAAATTCGGACATCAAGAGGAGCTTTATAAGTAAGGACTTCAATATTATCGTAAACATACTGTTCTCGACCTCTGAATGGTAACGCAAGAGCACCAGCTAGTTTCCCCAAAACTGATCTGCCATTTCTATAGATTCTCCCAAAATATTGATAGCCACCGACTTCAAATCCTCCAACAACTAAATTTGGTAGGGACTTGTATACTTGGGCGCTAGTTCGAACCCATTCGAAGTTTTCTTTGTATTGACTGCATAAAATCTGGAAATGATTAGTCATTTTGAAATAATGTTGACGATGGAAACGATAATTGAAATTTACGAAGGAAGCCTCATCCTTTCAAAAAATATAAAAATATTTAAGAGGTTTTCCATACCATGTCGACCACTCAAATTGAAAAATAATATAAAATATGATTCAACTGAAATTTTTTTCTAGCAAAAACCATTTTATATAAAATACCATTCTATTTTTTTAATTAATGAAAGAAATTCAAATATTCAGTTTATGTCAAATGAATAAATACTACACAGCAAATACCAAACGACTAAATTGATTCAAATCATTTTGTCGAACTGACCAATAAGACCAGAAATACCCATGTAGAATATTTATTGTCAAGTAATGAATGTCCTACTACGGAAGAAAATTTTAAATGTTCAATTCAATTTTTGGGGCACACTGAGATATTTTTTTCCAGTCGAAAATGAAAAATTGTCATCAGTTTTGCTTATTTATTTGGATAAAAAGTGCCTAACTGAAATGCTGTAAAAATATATTCGATAATGATAAAAATACACATACTGAAATTCGAAAACTCATCATGTGATAACCATTAAAAAAATTGTCATGAAAATTATTGTTTTAAATCAACTGTAACAACTGTCCGGGAAAAAATAATCAATAGCAGACTGACTCTTCATGAGTATCTTGATTAAAACGACGTGACCAACTTATCCCCTTACGAAATTTCTTGATAGTGGTATCCAACGGCGCAGTCGTCAAGTCACGTCGATTCCGTGTGTACAAAAAATCAGTTGCTAACAGTTATTTTTCTAGATTGATTTTGAAATAATTCCATAATGTACTCAAAACATATTTATCCTACAAAAAAATGGTAGGACTAAATCGTCCCCCACTCCCATTTACCTTTTGACTCATGATGCATATCCACTCAAATTGTAGGTACCCAGGTTTGGTTAGGTTAGGTCCAAAGTAAGTGGGTCTATTCGACCCTCCACCACAACCCGCAAAGGTTTATTGTGGCACATATCTATTCAAACTCGACCAAATAAACTCCGATTCTCAACGAAGCCGATTAGTTTGTATGGTGAGTGGTCTTTTAGGTCAGATGGTAAGAGTACGGCTTTGTCGAAATCTAAAAACCTGATTCGATCCTCAGCAGGGCAGGCACAAAGTATGGGCTCTGCTGTTTTATAATTTCCCACACAGAGGCGACACACACTGTCTTCCAATAGTCCGAGTCTCTGCATATGATGATTCAAATGACAGTGACCTGTAAAAATTCCTGTTAGACATCGTAGTTCATCCCTACTGTAGTCCAACAACTGTTTGATATCAAGCTTCGAAGGGTGAATAAACGCCTTGGAGTGAACCAATCCTGGAAGATTTTACCAGAAGTCCATAAATTTTCTTGCCATCCAGGTATTCAATCTTTTTTTGGCAAAGCCTAAAGCAATGGCAATGACAGGTTCTGGTTCGATGAAGCTGCTTACAGCACCCTCCTTTGCAAAGGAGTCAGTTGCCTGATTGCCTTTCAGGCCAGTGTGGCCAGGAATCTAGACCAGAGACAATCTGTTAAGTCTTCTTATCGAGGAGGGTCGTTTTTGTCCATTTCCGACCAATTTAGACGTTGCTCGGTAGGAGCCAAGAGCTTTCAACGCCGTTTGACTGTCCGAGAATATTTTTATTGACTCGTGTATGAGGTTGGATTCTTCCAATCGCTCCACGCTCAATTCAATAGCGTAAATTTCCGCTTGAAATACAGTCGCATAGGTTCCTAAGCAGCTTGATATCTCTGTCCTGGGTCTGCGACTGCACCGGAATCGAAAGGTGTAAAATGTACTTACTTACAATTAGAAAAGCTCTCACTGATAAATGCTCAATCGGCAATATAAATGTCTATACCCTTCTCCATAAATTTCTTTTTTATGACCAAGTGAGACAAATTGCCGGTTTATTGTTAGAAACAATACAAATATGTCCTGATCTGATGTGTACTTTGTGTAATCTCTTAGATCTCAGTTTTACGTCTTCAAATAGATACAAGGACATGTTTGTTATTCGTTGTGTAGTAATATTTACTTATTTCACTCTGGATACTCCTTTTCCAGCCAGTTTGGATGATTACAACGATTTTCAAGAGGAACTAAAATTCTACGTATGTATAACCGTGAACTATATCAGATATTATTTAGTTGCTGTACAGCCTGGGTTGAATTAATGAAATGCACCACGAAACATTGTCAACCACCTTCAAACAAACCTAGGTTAAACTGTTGTCAATTCAGATTTAATATTAGGGAAAATCTAACTGTAACGATTGTCAAAAGTCAACTGTAAGTTGAGTTATTGAATTGAATAAAGAAAAAAACTCGAAAAACATGTATCAATGACAAGAGCATAAAACACTTTTTCCAACCTAGAAATGATAACTTCACTAATAGAATTCCTCAAAACTGTTGGTCCTCTAGTAATAACTACTACTCGAATTCATTCGAGGAGTCATCGGTGGTTGGCATTATATCTCGGAAAAAAAAACAATAATTACCTGATTTATTTACAACTTAACTCAATTTGGATATAGCTAGTAAGTCATTCTGATCTACAAATAATTATTTTTTTCGAACATGGAATCCGTAGAACAAAATACACGCAATTTCAACTTTCTCCATCACTCGAGTCGCTTTGGAGAGGTCGCTTGAATTTATTTTGTTGCGCGATAATTTTTAACACTAGGATATTAATTCAAACTTTATAGTGTAAGGGGGAATTATAATATGCATGAAACCCTCAAGGTAACTAACATACTTAATTTGATAAAAATTAGTATCGCATTCGTCTAAATGACCTTCCAATTACCTACCACCTTATATGTGAACATTTTTTTAGATAAAATTGGACGTAGTACTATCTGGCTGGATTTATGCCATGGTAGTAAACATAACTGCAACTACGACTCTTCAAGGCGAGGTCATCAGGTACAGGGTCACCAGGGACTGCCCTCAAGGTGGTGTACTATCTCCCCTTCTGTGGTCGCTCCTTATGGATAATCTGCTTGATGCCCTTGACAGAAAAAAAGTTGATCTGCAAGCTTATGCAGATGACCTCATCATCCTGGTGAGGTCCACGTCGGAAAGGGTAGCTTGTAATATTCTCCAAAGCATGTTGAACGTTGCTTACAGTTGGTGCCTGAGGGAGCAGATGTCCGTCAATCCCAGCAAAACTGTGTGAATCCCCTTCACCAAGAGGAGAAAATTGGACGATCTACCGCCAATTTCCCTCAATGGTGAGGTCATTGCATTTAGAACGGAGGTGAAATTTCTTGGCATTGTTCTTGATAAAAGACTCACCTGGAACGCTCACTTGGAAAAAGTTTTACACAAAGCCACAATGTCTCTATGAACATATCGCAAGATGTGTGGTAAAACTTGTGGCTTAGGTCCCAAACAAATCAATTGGATTCATGTGATGATAGTCAGACCAATGATCACTTATGTTGCAGCTGCTTGGTGGCCGAAGGCTTTACAGAAAACGGCCCAAGCGAAGCTCTCTGGCTTACAGACACTGGCTTGTCTGGCTATCACTGGTGCAATCAGTACCAAACCGTCAGCGGCCATGGAGATCCTTCTAGATCTACCTCCCTCCACATGTTTCTGGAGAGAGAGGCTACATGGACTGCATACAGACTTGGCACATTGCCAATTGCACAAATCAATTAAATGCAGAATGCAATAGACTGTTGGTTGACACTGGAAGTCACAGCATTCTGGAAATGACCTCTGACTTTATGCCTCCAACTGTCAACTACGAACTGCCTTATAAAGTACTAAACACGAGTAGAGGGGAGTGGATCCCCTCCGGGAGAAGGAAATATTGAGAGCAGATAGTTGTTGGTTCACAGATGGATCAAAAACACCTTCCGGTTCCGGTGCAGATGTTTTTAGATGCAGACGCAGGACAGATCTATCTACCTGCCTAGGAACTTATGCGACTGTATTTCAAGCGAAAATTTACGTTATTGAAATTGTGTGCGGAGAGATTGGATAAATCCAACCTCACACACAAGTCAATAAAAATAGTTTCGGACAGTCAAGCGGCGTTGGAAGCTCTTAGCTCCTACTTCGCAACGTCTAAATTGGTAGCAAATGGCCAAAAATGACTCTCCTTGATAGGAAGACTTAACATATTGTCTCTGGTCTGGATTCCTGGCCATACTGGCCTGGAAGGTATTGAAGCAGCTGACTCTCTTGCGAAGGAAGGTGATGCAAGCGGCTTTATCGGACCAGAACCTGTCATTGGCATCGCTTTGGGCTTTGCCAAACAGACATTGAACACCTGGATGGCAAGAAGATTCATGAACTTCTGGCAGAATCTTCCAGGATTGGCTCACTTCAAGGCGTTTATCCACCTTTCGAAGTTTGATACCAAACAATTGTTGGACCACAGTAGGGATGAACTACGATGTCTAACAGGCCTTCTTCCTGGTCACTGTCGTTTGAATCATCATATGCGGAGACTTGGACTGTCGGAAGACTAAGTGTCTCGCCTCTGTGAAAATGATGAAACAGCAGAGGGTCGAATAGATCCACTTACCTTAGACCTAACCTAACCTAATTATCTTTTTTAAAAAAAATCGTTTATTTGACGGTGGTTCATGATTGAAACTTTTAGTTGTTGCACTTTTGTTGACAATAAACATATTCGTTAAATTTCATATTTATATTTGTTATTCTCGACTACGGAAAAGTATCGTGATATACCAAAAAAATCAAAATAAATTTTTGAATTTTTTCCGAAACGTAGACCTTTCAATATTGGACAATCAAAAAATGATTTAAATCTGTACATAAAACTTTACATGGGTATTTACAATCTGAATAAATCACACTACTGAGAGAAAATTGAAAACAATTTTAAAGAAGTACCTTGATATTTTTATCGGAACTCAATTCCTTATTATATGCAGTGAACGTTGCGAATGGAGCAGTGGGACGTATAGTTGCAGGAAGAAGTTCATATTCTTTTGTGTACACTTGGCCAACGTACGGAGAATTTGGATCATTCTCATCTATTTTCAATGCATTATCTGGAATTTTGTCACCGTTGTAATCCAGCCAATAATAACCTGAAATAGAAATGTGGATTCAAAAGGACGCTCAATAATTTACAATATGACTCATTTAAAATGGGAGCACCCCTATAAAACATATTTGTCAATTAATTAAAATATCTTTCCGTTAGATGAACGGATACCAGATTTTATATGAATGGGTTTTCATTTTCACGATTAATTTCAAAAATTTTTCAAAAATACGAATATTATTTATATTTACTTACTGGATTAAAATGGTTTTGAAATGATTCATGACAAAATTACGTCGGAACACTTCCGTAAGATGGCAAAATATGTTTTATATGGGTGGAAGCAGCCTTTTTAAATGTATAGACACTGGTAATACTGTACTGTATATAGAAACGGATTTTTTTCCTTCAAACAAACCAAAGATCATATTTCAAGTGCAAAAAGTTCAATAATTTTAGAAATTTGTCTAAGCAGTAGTTTTTTTGGTTTTCTTGAGGCATTTCTCAACAGAATCAGCTCAGGAATAACAAAACAGGCCAAAGTTTCTTCAAACAAACCAAAGATCATATTTCAAGTGCAAACAGTTCAATAATTTTAGAAATTTGTCTAAGCGGTAGTTTTTTAGGTTTTCTTGAGGCATTTCTCAACAGAATCAGCTCAGGAATAACAAAATAGGCCAAAGTTTTTTCAATCGAGTAACTAGCTCAAAAACTTTCCATCTCAGTATCGGTAGATATCAATTCATAAAGTGGAACAAACTCATGGACTTGATTGTAGGATTTGAATTCAGCGAAGTCTCAAAAATTACCAAGGCAATGACAAAATATCGTTTCAGATTTTCAATTGACTTTGAGAATTCTACCTTCCAAAATATTGGGAACTTGAATTACTACAATTGATACAATTGATATTGAGTATGTTGAAAAAATTGTGGATACCCTAATCCGAGCGAAAATTATCAGAAGAACAATAACACTATTCAGATTCCTTCTAATGTAAATACTGTAATTGTATTTTTATGACGACATGGTTTGGATCACCCTGTATAACATGACATTGAGAATCTCACAAACGAGGACGTTGCCTATATTTTTCCAAAACAAATTTTGTTCTTACAAGACATCGTGCAACAAACCGTCCAAGTTTGAAATTATTCGTAAAAACAAATTCCATAACACATTATTTGAATTGTTTTTTTTTGTTAGCAACAATAGATTCTGTCAGAAAAAGGGCAAAAAGTGTATAACTTGAATACATATAATGGCAGCTTAAAATATTTCGAAATTAGTAAAAGAATTGATAGGTATAGTCGAAGTAACTGGTATTGTGAATAGAACCAATACAAAGAAATGATGCCGCTACCAAGTAGTCCACGTGGACTGGAGAATTGGCGATTCGTATTGGATAATTTTTACTGACCGAGTTTTATGATTGGCTGAAGAGTCATAAAATTAAATTTGTAGTCATATTACGGTGACGAATGGAATGCGAGGATGTTTATACTCGTTGTGTTGTCAATGTTCAGTTCAAGAACTGATCGCTATTTGAATGTTGAAATTCGATATTGGTGCAGTTATAATTACTTGAAATTTTTGTTATCTGTTCAAAATGTGGCGTTCTTGGACAAGCACTAATGGTTATAACGAGTGTGATAACAACGCAGACTCATTCCTGTGGAGTGATTCCAATAGCGATGGTGAACAATGCGAAAAAGAGATACCAGTGAATGAGATTATATGCATTGACAGTATGTGTCAATGCATATAAGAATCTACATCCCGAGTTCGGTTTCGAGGAAAACAAACTATTTTAAGCAACATCAGATTTGACCGAAATTCATTATCAATACTATTCTTTTTCATGAAAAATTTTGAGCCTGAACACAAAATTATTTTCATAACCCACAAAAAACCGCCATCAAGATGCTGTCAGCGTATGTTTCATAAATATAACAAATAATCAATCTTGAAACAAGGACCTTATACAGAAAGTGTAAGAGCTTGAGAGACGAACGTTCGGGACGTCCAAAAACTGCAACTACCGACGAAAACATCGCCAAAGTTCACCAAATGGCGCTATACTACCGCTAAATTGAAGTGAGAGAGATAGCAGAGGTTATGAACATGCCAAAAGAATGTGTTGGTCACATATCAAATCAACATTCAGGCATGACAAAACTGTCCGCGCATTGGGTGCCGCGTTTGCTCACCTTAGACCAAAAACGTGTGTTAAAATGAACATTTACAACTCTCTGTTGGCGCAGTCTAGGCGCACTGAATCCAAGTTTTGGCACCGATTGATTACTGAAGATGAAACTTGGATACAACATTATACGGCCGAAACACAATACAGTCCAAACAGTGAACTTCAAAGAGAAAACCGGCTCCAAAAGAAGCAAAAACTGTTTTTTTTTGTTTGGGAAAGTGATGGCGACTGTTTTTGGGATAGTCATAGAGTTAAATCGATTTCTCCATAACAGGAGCATACTATGAATCATTACTTGATAAGCTGAAGGCAGAACTTGCGGAAAAATGGCCACATTTGCACAATAAGAAAATTTTGTTTCACGAAGATAACGCACTGTTTCACACCTCAGCGGTTGCCTTGGCGAAAATCCACGAATTACGGTTTGAACTGCTTGACCATTCGCCTTACTCACCAGGTCTAGTCCCAAGCGACTTCTTTTTGTTCTCTCATCTGAAAATTGCGCTCAGAGGACATATATTTTCGTCAAATAAAGAGGCAATCACCTTTGTGAACAATTATTTTGCAGAGAAAAACGCCAAGTACTATTTGGACGGGTTACAGAGGTGGGAGCATCGCTGGGAGAAATGTGTAGAAAATCAGAAAAAATGTCTTGTATCTTTGTTATAACAGAAACTTTTCAGACCACCTATGTAAGATCAACTGAACTCTGAGGATCGCACACTAACCATTTTACGGAATAAAAATTTGATTTTGAATTATTATCCGAGAAGAAGCGAATTATTTTGAACATTCACTGTGAATCGAAAAACGTATATAAGGAATACCTATCTACCTTAGAAAATACTCATTATCCGATTCAATACTGCAAACATGATTTCATGTTTGAATCGATAGATTTTCACTTGGTATCTTCCAACCCGTGTTAGGAATCACACGTTAAAAGGTAAGTCCTCGTTAATCTTTAGCTCGCACAAGTTTCGACTTCTGAGGGTTGTCGTTCGTAGGGGTGCGACACCTGGTTAATGGAAGAAGATATTCCAATGCTTTTTTATTTCATCCAAAGTATATTAGAATATCAACAATAGATAAATTGTGAAAAGGCTAAATTCAGATATTGAGTGATTTTCTAAATACTAAATACAGAGGGTTACCTTAAAACTTTTTAAATATAAAGTATAACGTTAAGTATAATGGGAATATATATGAAAAATCATTAATAAAATTTTGCATTTGGCTTCAGGTAATATTTATTAGAAAGACAACTTTCTACTGATATTGTTATCATTTTCCTGAACTTTGCATACTTGAAATGGTCAATCCACTGTCCAAGCCAAGTAGGATAAAAATCGTAATTTAGTCGACATGCACCTTAACACTTAATACTTACCAATTTCATTACTTCCAGAAGTCAAACAAACACTAATACTTATCAAAAGTACTATGATTTTCATTTTCTTTTGGATGATTGGTAGCAAGCGGATTGATCACTGGCGTTTCTCCTTATATATGAAACAGAAATTTGCCGATACACAATTTGATAAGACTAAACAGAAGGAATAGTTGTTACTCCCAGAAAGCCCCGATTCCAGGGTAATATGTTTTTCCCAAAGCAACCTAAAGTAAACTGTGAGAAACCCGTCAACTTGAACCATGACCTTGGCAACATTTAAATAAAGATAATTTTATTACTGCATACTAAGATTTATTAATACAGTGATATTTTTAGAAACGAAAAATATTTACATTACATTCCATTTCTTAATAAAGTCAGTGGCGTTGGTATCAAGTCAAACGAAGTTCTTCATCTGGATCTACAAAAAAAGCATATACTGGTCAATATTTCAGTGGAAAAAACTGCCATGATGGCGGTAAATATCCGGTTATGTCGTTTTAGGATTTATCTCCTTTCTTAGTTTGCAGTGTTCGGAAACTTCACAGAGTAGAGAAACAACTGATTTGCTTCATAAAAAATTAGAATGATTTACAGTGACGCTTTCTCGAAACCTATTGAAAAGGGTCCGTAATTTTTGTTCTGGTGTTGGGAAAGTGTTTTCAATAGACATTTTCAACCTAGAAGAAACGGATCACTTCAGTTTATCCTGTGAGTTGAACATTTGCCAGTACATTATTTGTACGAGTTTCTCAACATCCTTCTAAGTTCTGTAGTCAGGACAGTCAAGGTTGTTTGTGTTTTTCCATTATTTGGGACTCCAATCATGGAATAGTCCTTGAAAATAATATAGAATCGTTAGATTTCGCATCCTCATAAAACACCGAAAGTTGCAACTTTCAAATTCAACTTTTTTTCGTGAAATAATGTTTCAAGTTCAAGAGAAACAGTTTTCATATTCCTGTAACAGAATTGTGCCACTGCAACCTATAGTTGGCGTCATCGAAAGATAAACTTTGTGTATGAATTATAATCTAGCCCTGGCAATCAGCAAGAATTATATATCGAGAATGTACTGGAAGTAATGATGAACCATAATGAAGAAGATGATGAACGACCTTAACACTATCATACGTCGATTCTAGATCCTTCCGTGTTAGGAATAACACGTTAAAAGGTAAGACCTCGTTTGTCCTTAGCTCGCACAAGTTTCGACTTTCGACTTCTGAGAGTTGTCGTTCGTAGGGTTGCGATAGCTGGTTAATTAAAAAAATATTTAAACAACATATTTTCCAGTGTTGTATAAATCACATCAGAGTAACTTGGAGCAAATAGCCTTGTTGTAGATACAAAAGCGTTAGCAAGCGAAACGAAGTTAAGGAAAGTATTGATTGAGTGACATTCTTTAGCTTCTGCTTTCTTTATATATCACTACTGAACTGTGAAGTTACATTGTCAGCAAGTCAGTATCTGCATCAAGTTGCGAAAATTGGAATAGTTCTGAGATCAGTTGAAAGTGTAACAAAAGAAGTGAAAAAATAATCCGAGATGAAACGTTGCAAAAGCGGTAGGCAACATCAATGACAGCGATAAAACATTAGTGGCAATGAAATTAGAGCCCAAAGACAAAATTTTCGTGAATCGACGCCAAACAGCGCTGTTTCGACTATAGGTTCCATTAGTTGTGTTAGGTTTAATCCTGATTAACAAATCTGAGAAGGAAACAACGAAAAACATCCCCCCAATCATCGAATATCAAAGATACTACCCGGAAGGAGGCTACCCGGAAACTAATTTTTTTGGCGGTTTTCTTTTTCTTTGAAGGACGGCGCTCTCAGAGCGGTGCCTGTGCGAAAGTAGCGATTCATATTGGTTTTGAATAGATGAAGATTAAATCCATTTGTAAAAACGTTCTCGGGAAGTTTATCCCACACAAACGCAGTTCTCCAAAAGAAAGAGTTCTTAAACAATGGACTTTGAGGTGTACTGAGTTGAACCTCAAAACGATGAGCAGCCACTGTCCATCGCGTATTTTTGATATATACCGCTCTTGGTGGAATCAAATGTGCCAAGTCACTTGAACACCTCCCGTGAAAGTATATATAGAAGAGAAACAAATCTCCAACCTGTCTTCGATGTTATAAGCTATTAAGGTTGCAAGGTTTATCATGACAATGCTACTGAAGGAAAAAGTTTGAAGTGGATTTTGCTTGTGGGGATTCTGTTTATAAGATCAAATAACTACTATGAAGTGGCGAACTGAGATATGATGAAGTTACTCAGTAATATTTTTTTAATAAGCTTAAAACAATAACTAACGAAAAATACTAGTATTATTGTGAATAAAGTGACGGACGCTTGATATACAAAAATAATGGCACAAATCGCACATGTTTTTTTCAAAATAATACTAGTATTTTTTGTTTGTTATCGTTTTAAGCTTATTGAAAAAAATTATTTTTAACTTTTTAGTTCGATGTTCTTTGGAAGCGTGTTTTTTAGTCCTTTAAACGATATTTATTTTTCATTTTCCATTTTCGTGTGCTGTAAAAGCGTCTTTTTTAGTCTTTTTAAACTATATTTATTCTATCTAAACTTTGGGATCAATCAGCCGTATATTGTTCAGAAAAATTACCATCGAAAGCCCAAGAAAAGCAGACGTGCAAAGGAGGCTACAAAAAAACACATGACATCAAAACGGCCACAAAACATTTGGAACAACCTAATAATAGTGATCAATACAATATATATTTTAACTGACATATAGGCTACAATTTACAAAGATTTTGTTTAATTTTGGTCATAATATAACGATAAGTATTGAGTAAATCGGAAAAATTCTTGCTCCCTGAGAAGTTACCTTGGCGTGAATTTACATGCAGATAAAAATACTGATCCATAAATACAATTGAAATGGATACTTTTTTATAATGCACATTTTAGAATATCTGTCAAATTCTTGTACAAATCAAGGTAGATGAACTTTGTCTTTCACACTAAGTAATCGTTTGAAAGTTATCACGACCAGTGAAACTTAACGCAATTCAGTAAGCCATTAAGCGTCGCATCTACTGTAGGGCGATGGAGGACGATGCGCGAACACACATCGTTGACGGTTGTTTTAGTTTTTCGAATTTCTTTATAGGTAACAAAATTCGATTCTCGAAGCTATTCATTACTTTGTACAGTTGGCATATTTTTTAAGTTGCTGTATTTTTAAAATAAAAATATAAATTACCAGCTGCTGCCTGCTCTTATAGTAACGTACAGCCGAAGCTACTGACCCTAGAATCTTGAAATAAGCAGGTAGGTTCTTTGTATAACGTAAGTAAGCATCAAGAAAGGGAATCAGGAATTTCCACCCCCAAGGAGTAAAATAGTGGTTCAAAAATTGTATTGAATTCGTCAGTTCTCAAGTTGGGAACCTGAAGTTTTGGGTGGATAAAAAATATTGTGACTATTTCTTTATAATCGTCTGTGATAATGTGACAAACCAAATTATACGCGAGCGGCGAAACCGTGGGCAATAACTAGTATGGAATATATCTAAAGAGACAACTGTCATTGTCATAATAGATTAATAACTGATACATAGGACGGGGCATTATTGCTATAGCTTGCAAATACAATCATTCTAGTGCTGAAAATTCCATTTTTAGTTTATTGAGTTACCCAGAATAAAAAAGTCAATGGGTTGTTTCTCAGAATAGCATCGTCAAATATACTAATATCGGTAATTGGACTACTACATGTAATATGACTCTAGATAATTCATATACCTACAATTATTCGTAATGACTCAATATATATTTTAAATACAGCTGTCAAAACTTAAGTTCACAAATATTTTGTTTACATAAACTTCTCACCTATCGGTATAAATTACAAATGGGAAAGTGAAAACAAACATAGTGTTAGTTTCAATTCATGAGTATTTCTTCAGGTATCATCTTTCCATCAAAAATTTCAAGACACGATGTTAGGAACCGAATTACAGAAAAAGTCGATATATCCGTGTTAAATGTTTGTTCCTCGGTCGAATATCAGGAAATTGACTGATCGTTGTGGAGTGCTATTTCCTGTCTGCCATTATGACACTTTGTGAAAGACCTCAGCCGGTGTTGCCTTTCATATCCGCCACTTAAAGGCAGTCGACGAAAGGTAATTTAAACCATAAACACAATGGATAGTGACTAATGTGAAAATCGAAATGAATTAAGGTAATCGGCGGGGTGAAACACAAATGTTACGTTACCTACCCTTTACTTCACTGAGAATTAGTTCTAAAAATAGTAATTGGATCAAATATTTAAACCATATCAAGATTTTTAAAAAACAAATCCATTTTAAGTTTTTGAGCGCCAAACATCCAATATAGTTGACGGACTAATTGAATAGTAAATTTGGATATACAGGATGTTTACTAACTTTGGTACGAAATTTCAGAGGGTGATTCGTGGGGTCGTTTTAAGAAAAAAATTTCCCATAAACATATGTCCGGAGTTGCTTCAATCATGAATAATTTCACTAACGCTGAAATGGCTGAGATGCATTTTAGCAAATGGAAATGCGGATGAAGCACGGAGAATTTACCAAGATAGATATCTTAACAGAGTATTTCCATATATTTGAAAATTAAGAACGCTACATGCAAGATTATGTGAAACTAGTAGTTTTAATGAAGATGCAGATGGATGCAACGCCTGAACTAGAAGAAGCTATAAGTACTCAATGCGATCGAAGAAGAACCCTCAATCAGTACCAGGAAGATTGCACTGCAGCTGGAAGTCAGCCTAATAACTTTATGGACTGTTCTGAAAAGAAACTTCCAATACCCATATCACATACAGCAGGTCCAATACCCACTTTATTGGAAAAACTCATTTTCAGCAACAATTTCTGCTGAACATTTGGGTAGAAATGATTGGTGACTACCTAATTGGCCCATTTTTTCTACCAGCAAGTAAATCCTCCACGGACTTGTCATGAGACTATTTGCCTATTGTGTTAGAAGAAGTGCCAGTACTTGTAAGAAGCAACATGTGGTTTATGCACGATGGGGCTGCAGCTCATTTTAGTGTTTTTTCTCTTCAGCTGCTCGACATCATCTGACCTAATCGCTGGATTAGACGTGCAGGATCTCAAAATTGGCCAGCTCGCAATCCTGATATGAATCCTCTAGATTTATATTCATGGAGTCATCTGAAGGCTCTTGTTTATGAAACTCATGTACTAGATGTGAATGACTTGAGGAATC